ACTTTCTCTGGGCAGGGACCCCCAAGCTTCTTCGGGGCCCCCTCCCTCCGGGCCTGGCAGGGGGTGGCTGCTGCAGGTGGAATGGGGCAGTGGGGAGGGTCTGAGGCCAGGAACTGAGCCGGGACTGGAGGCCGGGCCGGGGCCGGAGCCAGGTGTGGAACCGGGATCGGGTGCAGGGTCCAGAGCTGGGGGTGTGCCCAGGGCCGGAGCAGAGCTGGGGGCGGGAGGGGGCACTCTCTCCTGCCCCATAGGGAGGGGGCCCAGCCCCCATGAACACTGCCTCTGCTTTGTACCCATCTCTGAGGGGCCCAGCCCCCCCCTTTCCTTTCCACCTCGCCTGCCCGCCCTAGTGCACCGAGGGGCCGGGCCTGTGGGGCCTGCCCCCCACCCTACAGCCTCACGCACACTCCCCAGCTGTAGAGCAGGAGCAGAGACGGCATCAGAACCCGCCCCCGGCGCGAGCGAACGGAACATCCGCGAGGCCAGGCCCCCTTGGGCCAGCTGGGACCCGGCCCGTGGGGCAGCCCCGGCTCCCCGCGGGGCCTGGCCGGAGCGGGGCTCTTGCGGGCTCCCCCTGAGCGAGGCGGCCCTGCCTTGCAGATCGACTCCTACGAGAAGCTCTACGAGGAAGTGTCCCGGTTCGAGAACACCAGGGTCTTCAGCGGCTGGGTGCAGAGGGGCTGTCGCCCCCCCCAGCCGGCCCTGGCAGGAGCGGGGCTCTTGCGGGCTCCCCCTGAGCGAGGCGGCCCTGCCTTGCAGATCGACTCCTACGAGAAGCTCTACGAGGAAGTGTCCCGGTTCGAGAACACCAGGGTCTTCAGCGGCTGGCTGCAGAGCGACTGTCGCCCCTTCAAGCAGGCTCTGCTCAACACCATCAAGCGCTGGAGCCTCATGTTCAAGCAGCACCTCATCGACCACGTCACGTCCAGGTAGCCGGGCGCCCGGGGCCCTGCCCCTCCACAGGGAGCCCAGGAAGGCGGAGGGGCCGGGCAGGTGGAACGAACCCGGCATCAGCTGGCATGGAGCCGCGGCAGGCCTTGCTTAGAGGGGGTGGGGCAGAGCTGGGGGCTTTTTTGGAGCAGGGCCACTGACCCACAGAAAAATCAGTCGGGGGCCACTCACAAGGAAGGAGCAAAACTAAAAACTCCCTCAGTGGCCCCGCCCAAAGTGAGGAGACAAAAACCTTCCCAGATGTGGCCCCAACTGAGAAGCAGGGAAAGACGACGTTCAGCTCTCTCCCTCCGGCCCCCCAGCGCCCAGGGGACTAGGGCTAGTGGATTTGGTGGGGCCCTAGGCTCTTGGGGGGCTGGTCTGAGAGCAAGGCTGCGGGCCCTGGGCAGGACATAGGGTGCAGGCGCAGTCTGGGGGGAGGCTGCTGGAGCACACGGGGTGGGGGTGCAGGGTCTGATGAGGGGGGTCTGCCAGGAGGAGCAGGGAAGGGGCTGCAGGCACAGCTTGGGGGGCACACCTGGCTCTGAGGCTCTGTGTGCTGCAGGTCACCAATACCCCCTGCTGGCACCCGCCCCCGGCCACGCCCATTGCCCATGAATCACCCAATGGGAGTGCTGGGGGCGGTGCTTGCAGGGAGCGCTGCTTCCTCCCCGGCCAGGCACAGCCCACGGACCCAGTCTGGCCCCTGCTTTTTTTTTTGCT